AGCAGACTCCGCGGTTTATATAAGGCTGAAGGTCAAGCCCTGCTTTAGAATCAGCTAAAAGGCAACGACGCAATCCCAGCGTACAAGGTTACTCCTGGGGGGAGAATAGGTGGATAACGTACCCTAACCCCAAACAAGTCCGAGCTGGGTGATTGATAACCATCGGGCTGGCGCGGGACTGGCGAATAATAGACGGGGGCGAGGAACGTCCCACCGTAACTCCGAAGTCGGTGAACGCGCACGATAATCTAATCTGATCCGATACCTTTTTCCCGGCCTTCTTTCCCCCTCTTCTTCCCTCGGTCGCCCTCTTGTTTTCATTTCTGCCTTACCTTCGTCCTTTCCTCTTTCATACCTTGTTCAATCCCTGCCCATTACTCTGTCTGCTTCGTGGCATAGATTGATAAAACACATTGCTGCTGCACGCCCAATCTCCTCCGGTGTGCTCTGCACCACACCTCGTCTCGCTTACCGGCTGAAGGGGCGCACTTCCGCTCTTCCGGCCGCCGAAGCGATCAAGTGACACCACCACTTCTTCTTCCTTCCCACCTGTTGGTCCGTTTCTTTCCCAAACACCTCCCGCAACCCGCTCCTCGCGGCGAAAAATTATGACTGCTGACCACGACCCAGGCCACCTCTTACAATACAAAGAGGTCTCCTAAATACCATGGCCACTCCAGCTCCCTCACTCGCTCCTGCGCCCGGTCCAGCTCCGTTGGCACCCGCATTGGCCGCCAAGCCAGCCATCTCACCGTCTCCCGGTCCGGGCACACCCGGCTCCGTCACCTCCAAGGAATGGGTGATCCCCCCTCGTCCCAAACCCGGCCGCAAGCCCGCCACAGACACGCCCCCTACCAAACGCAAAGCGCAGAATCGAGCTGCCCAGAGAGCTTTCCGGGAGCGTCGAGCAGCCCGCGTCAACGAACTCGAGGACCAGATCAAGAAAATCGAAGACGACAATGAGATCCACGTCGTGCAACTCAAGGAGCAGATCTCAAACCTTTCCCATGAGGTCGATCAATGTCGGAGCGAAATGGCCTGGTGGCGTGACCGGTGCCACGCTTTGGAAAAAGAGGTCTCCGTCGAGCGCAGCGCTAAGGAAAGCCTTGTGAAGGAGTTCCGGTCCTCGCTGTCAGACAAGAATGCCTCTCGCTCAGACAAGGCACCCTTGACACGCATACCCAGAGACGCATCCACCGCTCAAGTGGCAGTGGAAAACAATATGCACGAGGAGCGGGACGAGGTGCCCCTGGGCTGTAGCAACTGCTCGAACGTGCACTGTCAGTGTATTGAAGACGCATTCAGTGGCATGCCCGGCATCGAGCGGACGTCAACTCAGTCAAAGCGTCCTGATAACTCGAGCCAGTCTCGTGCCGAACCCGAAATCAAGCCTGAGCCAGAGGAGATGGAGATCGATTTCACAACGCGATTCGCGGCCCCCCATCACGTCCAGGACGACACAGTCACTAATGTCTCCTCCCCGGCCGTCGACCCTTGTGGTTTCTGCCAGGATGGCACGCCATGCATTTGTGCCGAAATGGCTGCCCAGGAAGAGGAGCGCCGCCGGCGGAACTCGTTCGAAAACAACCGCCTGGCACCCATCCAGAACCTGTCGCAATTCACGCCGCCCCCTTCCGACGGCGACGTGCGGTCCGAGGTGACCCTCCCACCCATTAGCCAAGCGACAAATCCCTGCGCCAATGGCCCGGGTACTTGTGCCCAATGTCTCGCCGATCCCAGGCGGACCCTTTTTTGCAAGACGCTGGCGGCCTCCCGCCCCGCCAGCGCTGCTCCCTCTGGATGTTGCGGCGGTAAAGGCGCCGATGGTGGATGCTGCATGTCGCGCAACTCCAACCCTCAACGCAGCGGGTCAACTCAACAACAACCACAGACTTCCAGCTCGCGCCGCTCGGCTACTCCGTCCCTAACTCTCTCCTGTGCCGATGCCTTCACCACCCTCTCCCGCCACCCGAACTTCTCTCGAGCCAGCGATGATATTTCCTCCTGGCTTCCTAAACTTCACACTCTGCCCAATCCCAGTCAGAGCCAAAAGGAGGTTATGCAACCAGGCTCCCGAGCCGCATTGGAAGTCGAAGCCGCCAGTGTCATGGGTGTGCTACGCTACTTTGATCGGAGATTCGCCGACAAATGATCTTCCTCTGCATTCTGTTCCTCTCTACATTTTCTCTTCTTTCTGCCTCTTTCTTTTCGGCACCTTTTTGATTCTGCTTTTATTTCTCATGATACCCAAACCTGACTCATGGCATGTCTGAGTTTGTATTATACATACACACCTCACTCACACCTTCCTACCCTCTCATCTCATGGACGGGAGAGATAACCCCCTCCTCTTCCATAATACCCCTCCTCACCCATCCTTCTACTTTCTCCTCCCCCAACCTCCACCCAGGGATTTATGAACCCTTCCCTTACGATCCGCCCCACCAGAAAAAAAAAAAGTGACCATGAAGGAGGGAAACTGGAACCTCAACAACCTAAAAATTCACTCATATGAAAAATCATCAAAAAGAGCCTAAAAATAATAACGACCGGACTGCCAGGATTGTCTTGTCTAGAGACCGGGACGAATTGAAGTTCGTTCCATATGATTACAATTTAGACGGGTGAAATGAAATAAATGATATGGCGTTTTTTCTTACTATTTATGAAGTTCCATATATATCATTTCGTGGTTCTAGAGACTTTTTCTTTTTTGGCTTGTATAGGCTGGGGTTTGGTTAAGTTGGTAGAGTAATGGTTGGGCTATTTCGGGTTAATTACTACGACACATTATACTACTTACTATATTGATTCGATCTAGAAGTCAACATCGGAGTAGTGGTGACAATGTAGAATGAAGAGTAGGTAGATATTGATTCGTATGGTCTACATGAACAATATATAAGTAATAAAGACAACAGGCTCCAACGCCAATTCCATTCCGCTTGCTCCGTAGATATGACAACTGCAAGTAAAAATAATAAAATAAAGTACATCCCATAGCAGCGTCAGTTGGTATTGGTATTAAACGAAGAAAGGAACAACGAATGAAAGGAGAGGTCGAGAGTTAGAGAGGAGATCTGGGTGGGAGTGGAAGACGGCCCGGTGCCAACGCTTTAAAAGCGACCTCCGCTGGCCATCGACTCGTCCTCTCCGGTTACACTGAAGCTGCCCATGAGACTGGCGCCCCAAATCCCGGCAATCCCCCACATGCCAATGCGCCAGCCCCGGTACAATCCCTTGATACCCTGGCCCTGGCGTTTCCGCTGTACGACGGGCTTCTTCATGAGCTGGCGCGCACGATCAGCCTCCGGCGCGGGTGCCACTCCCTCTTCGTAGACGATGCTCCACATCGTGCCGATGATGCCGCGGTAGGTTTGGGGCGTAGGCACGATGGTCTCAACCTCAGTCGTCGGAGTCTCATCCGTGGTGGGGGACGATACTGAGCGGATGGAACCGCGGGACTGCTGCCGGAGACTGGGGGAAGTGAATGTTGCGATTTGTGCGCGACGAAGGACGGTTTCAAGAGGGAACCGGACTGCGAGCTCCAGGCCCGAGCTCAAGAAGGTGAAAAGACCCCATGCCGACGGGTTTAGCACGGGATCAATAGAGAGGTATGACTTCAAGACTAGGGGAGTCGTGTTGAGGATGAAGTTGGGGAGACTGGAGTGAAGGATGGTGATCGGGATCAAGTGAGGGGGGATGGTGCAGTTGGGAGTTGGGATTAGGCGAAGAGCCCGCAGAAGCGAGCGGGGACCGTGAGTGGCCGGTGTGAGAATGAGGAATGTGCGTGCAGTGTCAATGGGAGAGAGAAGCATCGCCGACAGCGACGAAGAGATGAAGGACAGGACCAACGTCGCGACCGGGGCGGTGGACGTCAGGATGTCTGCGGTCATGGATGAAGTTACATCTTCCTCTGGCAGGCCGACAATGGCGGAGAGCAGACTGCGGATGAAGGTGTTCAAGGTTGGGAGCAGCAGGGAATAGATGAAGGTCGCGTTAGTCGCTTTCCAGGGCGACGATGGCCCGCTGGTGCTCCACAGCTGGCCCAGCACCTCCATCAAGGAGGAGGGGTTCTTGATGGCCAAGGCATATCGAGATGACGACGTCTGGGGTGGGATGTAGCCGCTCCGGTCGGTAATATGGCGTCGAGGCTTCCGGGATCGGGGAGTAGAGGGTGATGGCACTGCGGGAGCTGCCGATGTGAAGTAGCTGCTCTCATCGTCGGAGGAGAGGGATTCCTAAAGAGCCCCCAAAGAACATATTGTTAGCTGTCTAATTCCCACCCATTGCCATTATCTGTGTCATGTACACACATCTTCATCGTAGGAGTCGACCTGACTGTCCAGCCCAGAGCTCCGGCGATCATGCATCGCCCATTGTCCCTCCGCAGAATCATCGGGGGCCACATAGGTCTGCAGAATGGTTTTGGCGACATCGAAGGGCTGGGCAGTTAGCACACCGAGGTATCGACGGAGTGCTTCGTCCAAGGCATCGCGAATCCAGCTGGACACCGAGGGGGAGTTGTCGAGGTATTCGGAGTAGTCTAGGTCGGGCAGAAGATCGCGCGCCGAACCACCAAAAACTTGAGTTGACGATGACGCATCGGGAGGGGAGGAGAGATTGGAGGCGTCCAGACCGATGGAGGGAGGGATGTAGTAAGGACGGAGGGGATTTGGCCCATCCAGCGGGGCAGTCATGATGGAAGATAAGAGAGGGAGAAGGGAGGGAATTAGTTAGTTGTTTCGGGGATAAGGATGGAAGGTCAAGAGGGGGAAGAAAGAAGAGCAGGTTGAAGCTTGCAATTCGGAGAAGAAGGCGAAAAAAGCAAAGCCGACGAATGAAGAAGCCCGAATTTCCCGCCGCTGTTCGGCCTCGCCTTTTTTTCGTGCCCCAGGATTCGCTCTGTTGCTCTCTCTTCCTCTCCACTTCTGCTGGTCCGCTTCTCCTCTCCTCTCCTCTCCCCTCGCATTGCGCTCTCTAAAAGTACTCTTTTTATTTCTTTGATATCCCTCCCTCCTCTCCGTCTTTTCCCAGCATCCCTGCGCCATGTCGTTCTGGAAAGAAGCGTGCCTGAACCTGCGTCATGCCGTTCCCAAGGCCGGGAACAGCATCGGTCGCACTCAATCCAAGAGAATCCTCACCTCTTCCTACTCGACTCAGACACCCCGAGTGATTGCCTCAAGCAGTTTCTCCATAAACGCCCGGAGGAACTTCCTGAGCCAACAGTCATGGATGGCTCGCCGCAGCTTTTCCGTCACGGCCGGTGCTCAACACGGCCATATCACGCCGCCAAAGCCCGGGGAGGAGTGAGTCATCGCGAAGCGCTGGCTTCGTATACTACTCATGCTAATGTTTGATGCGCAGGATTAACGTGACTTTCGTCGACAAGGATGGCGTGAAGATTGATCTCCAGGTCTCCGAGGGCGACAACCTGCTAGATATCGCACAGGCAAACGATATCGAGATGGAAGGTGTGTAATGCTAGTTATCGGGGATGCGCGGAATTATAGGGCCATAGTGACTGACAAACACTGGAAACATTTAGGTGCTTGTGGTGGCTCATGCGCCTGCTCGACTTGCCATGTGATCGTCGAGGACCCGGACATGTTTGATAAGATGGAAGAGCCGTCGGACGACGAGAACGACATGCTGGATCTGGCGTTCGGTCTGACGGAGACCTCCCGGTTGGGATGTCAAGTGGCCATGAGCAAGGACCTCGATGGCCTCGTGGTCCGGCTGCCGTCGATGACTCGGAACTTGCAGGCAAGCGACTTCGAGCCCAAGAAATAAGAGAGCTTTGTACGAGTATATACGAGAGGCGCCCGGGGATGAGGGACGGACTGTATGATTATCCAAGCGCATACACTGGGAGGGGTTCCAGGTCTATCTACGGTTATTGTGGGCTCATTGGTTTGTAAACGAACGTGTCTCTATTGGGTATACCGATCTCCATTCACTTTTTGGCATGAAAGTACCTGTAAATAGCATATCACTTTTTAATCCAAACACTTGAGATAAAATGAAACAGAACAACAGTAGAGCAACCCCTCAAACGCCCAAGGTATGCCAGGTCTTGAACAGCGAACAGAAACTTCTCGTAAAAATCCTCAAGCCTCCTCGATCTTCAACGGCTTGCCCTTCTTCCCGCTAATCAGGTCCAAAAAGCCCTGCTTGCTGACTTCGTTCACGGCCTTCTCGCGCTCGCCAATACCAACGGTACCCTTCTTGCGCTCTGCCTTGGCTGCTTCCTCTCCGCGCACCTGGGCGGCGCGGACGGCATTGAACAGCTTCACCACACCACGCTGGGCAATCTTGCGCAAACGCTTCTCCTCCTCAGCAACGGCACCCGCCTGGCCACGCTCCAGACCCATGACATCGCGAACACGACCACGATCCAGCTCTTCCTTCTTCTCCGCACGCAGCTTGGCTCGCGCTTGCCGATCCAGCTTCTCCTCCGCCACGTCAGTGCTCTTCTGGGCAGCGGCTTTGCTGCGCGCCAGCACGGGGTCGTCTCGAACGGATGTGGGGAGTTTGGTGGACAGAATCTTTGCGATAGAGGTGGAGAAGGCCGAGGGATCATTGCGCTTGGAGACAGCTCTGCGACCCGATGTCGCAGGTGCAGACGTATCGGAGTCGGCACCCTCTTCATCGTCGGATCCTTCAGAATCAATCTCAGACTCAACATCACCATCTTCCTCCTCTTCGTCGGCTTCCTCATCGGAGCTTTCGTCTTTCTCCGCCGCTTTTCTCTTCGTAGAGGCGCCAATCGACTTGGTCTGCTTCTTGGGCTGCTTCACTTGAACTTCCTCATCGTCGGAATCGGCCAAGCTGACAGCCTTGAAATCGGTGGGTTCATCGTCTTCGGACTCTTCTTCGGAGCTGCTGTGGTATTCGCGCTGCTTTCTGAACTTCTTCTTGGGACCGGCCTGCAACGACTCGAGGACCTTGCGCTTTTTCATGTGGGGAGGCATTTTGACGGTTGATATTAAATATTTCAAAATTGACTGGAAGAAAAATAACTTGAACCCGAATGTGGGAAGAGATATGAAGTGGAAAATGCAATGAACTTGCATTGAATCCCGAACTTTTTTTCCCAGCAATTTTTGGGTCCCTCGCGGGCGGCCAGCAACGCGTGGCTGTGATTGGCCGCGGGGCTTTCCGCATCGCTTCGCCCGCGCAGTTGGCCTCTCAGTCCATCGATTCATCCAACTCGCTGCATCCTCCATTCGTTTTCTACTGTCGTCTCTGCCACCTTTCACGATTTCTGGCAGCAAGTGGCGCATTTTTTTATCTGTACATGCTTTAATTTGGTTCAGTTCCTCTCGACAAGAATTCCCCCACCATGGTCCTTCAGGATCTCGGGCGGCGAATCAACGCCGCCGTCAATGACCTGACTCGCTCCAACAATTTGGACGAGAAGGTGAGAATCAGATCCCTCTTCTCGGGCTGATGTATGTACTGACTGCGAATAGGCCTTTGACGACATGATCAAAGAGATCTGCGCCGCCCTGCTGTCCGCCGACGTCAACGTCCGCCTGGTCCAGTCCCTCCGCAAGTCCATCAAGTCCAGCGTCAACTTTGCCTCTCTTCCTGCCGCCGTGAACAAGAAGCGTTTGATTCAAAAGGCCGTCTTCGATGAGCTAGTTTCCCTGGTTGATCCCCATGCGGAGCCCTTCCGTCCCAAGAAGGGCCGCTCCAACGTGATCATGTTCGTCGGTCTGCAGGGTGCCGGTAAAACCACCACTTGTACCAAGCTGGCCCGCCACTACCAGATGCGCGGCTTCAAGACCGCTCTCGTCTGTGCCGATACCTTCCGTGCTGGTGCTTTCGACCAGCTGAAGCAGAATGCCACCAAAGCCAAGATCCCCTACTACGGTAGCTTGACGCAAACCGACCCCGCCATTGTGGCAGCCGAGGGTGTGGCCAAGTTCAAGAAGGAGCGTTTCGAAATCATCATCGTCGATACTAGTGGTCGTCACAAGCAAGAAGAAGAGCTCTTCACCGAAATGACCCAGATTCAGACCGCCGTCACCCCCGACCAGACCATCCTCGTCCTCGACAGCACTATCGGTCAGGCTGCCGAAGCCCAGTCCTCTGCCTTCAAGGCCACCGCAGACTTCGGAGCCATCATCATCACCAAGACGGATGGTCACGCCGCAGGTGGTGGTGCTATTTCCGCCGTCGCTGCCACCCACACCCCCATCATCTACCTCGGTACCGGTGAGCACCTGATGGACCTGGAACGCTTCGAGCCAAAGGCCTTCATCCAGAAGCTCCTGGGTATGGGCGATATGGCTGGACTGGTAGAGCACGTACAAGCCGTGACCAAGGACTCGGCCTCCGCCAAGGAAACCTACAAGCACATCTCAGAAGGTATCTACACACTGCGCGACTTCCGCGAGAACATCACTTCCATCATGAAGATGGGACCCCTCTCCAAGCTCTCCGGCATGATCCCCGGTCTTTCCAACTTGACTGCGGGCCTCGATGACGAAGACGGCTCCATGAAGCTCCGTCGCATGATCTACATCTTCGACAGCATGACGGCCGCCGAACTCGACGGCGACGGCAAGAATTTCGTCGAACAACCTAGCCGCATGGTCCGTATCGCCTGCGGAAGCGGTACTACCGTCCGCGAAGTAGAAGACCTGCTCTCCCAGCACCGCATGATGGCCGGCATGGCCAAGCGTGTCGGTGGACAGAAGAAGCAGATGCAGCGCGCCCAGAACATGCTCAAGGGTGGTAACAAGGAGCAGCAGCTCGCCGCCATGCAGAAGCGCATGGCCGCAATGGGTGGTGCCGGCGGCGGTGGATTCCCCGGTATGCCCGGCATGGGCGACATGGCCAAGATGATGCAAATGCTGCAAGGTCAAGGAGGTGGAGGCGGCGGTGGTCTGCCCGGTCTAGGTGGAATGGATCTACAGAGCATGATGAGCCAGATGAGTGGGTTGATGGGCGGTGGCGGTGGTGGTGGTGGAGGCCGCGGTAGAGGACGGTGATTGTGATGATGACGATGATGCACGCATTTTGAAATTCCTCTTTGATTCTTGTTTTCGCGCTGTTACCATTCCATGATTATATTATTACACCTGTGTCTCCGTCTCTTCTTTTCGTTTGATTCTTAAAAGAGACTGGGGATTTATGCCTTGCTTCAGTTCAGTCATCATTCACCTCATTCGTCGATTGTAACTAGCATATGATGGTGTTGGGCGTGACTTGATTTTACTATTGCTTATATTTTTTTTTCTTCGCTAATACTACTATCTGACTGGCCCCCTGGGGCATCAATCTATGCTATGGAAGCCTCATTTACTCTCGTGTCTTACAAGATATATACCACTAGTAGTAACATGATATATCAAAATCCAAAAAGTAGATTACTTTCAAAATATATCATCTTAGTAAGAACAATAACGCCAATTACTACCAAAAGAGATGAGAGAGATATATTAAGTTGAATCACCGACTCAATACCAATACAATATCAGTAAATCAATCAATCCACCCTCTCCACCCGTCTAACTCTATCCAATACCTCATAGGCCTGCCCCAACACGAATGAGCGCACACGACCTACCGTTTCCTCAACACGGCCAATCACCGTCTTGACAGATGCATCCCACGTACTATCCTCCTCGCGCTCATCCAGAAGGAGCTTACCCGGCGGGAAGCGAGGGTGTTTCCAGGTCGACGCGGAGGCGACCACTGCCTCCTGGCCAGACAGAGGCACAGCAAGAGAGTATTTCCAGATCAGGTCGGTATTGACGTAGAGGGAGTAAGTGAACACAGAGCTGGGGACGGAGATGGTCTTGCCAGTTGAGGTGGTGATGAGCTCATCTTGGACGTCAATATCGATGAGACCGTACTTGGTGTTTCCGTCGGGGATGTATTTGATGGCGACGTCTTCGTCGTCGTCCTGGCGGTAGGTCCGGATGGGGAGGTAGAACATGTTGAGCGGGCCGACACAGAACTCGTGCAGTCCTTCGCCTGCGGTGTTGGGGAGGAGTTCCTCGTGGGTGAAGTCGAGGTCGGGGTCTGGGAAGCGCGTGGCTCCGAATTCGTGACGGTCCCCGCTGAGGAGGACGATGCGGACGCCGAGCTCGCGCTCTGCGCGCCACATGGCTTCGAAGACGGTGCGACGTTCGTTGAGGAATCCGCCCCATGTGTCAGTGGTGCCGACATGCCAGTTCTTGGTGAAGGGAACGCTGGAGGCTACGATCTTCCAGCGGACTTCGGCTGGTTCGGGACGGGCGAGGAAGGCGAGGAGAGACTGGAGCTGTGCGGAGCCGAGAATGGTGGAGTTGGGTTGGGCGGGCTCGGAGCGGTAGGTGCGCGTGTCCACCATGAAGAATGAAGCTGGGCCATTGATGAATGAGAAGTAGGTGGTGTTTTCGGGCTTAGCAAAGGGCGTTGGGGGGATGGGAGGGTTCGCGCTGACGTGGTAATGGATGTAGGGCTCCGCGGCGGCGGGATAGGGCGCCGTTGTGTTTCCCTTGGACCAGTCATTCTCAATCTCGTGGTCATCTAGTGTGTGAATCCAAGGGAGACCATCTTGGGCTTTGTCCCATGACGGAGAGGAATAGACCCGGCGGTACTCGCTGCGGTAGTGAGAGATTGAGGAGCCAAAGCGCTGAGGCACGTCGACGTAAATGAAATCACCTAGGAACAACATAAATGCTGGTCGGAGCAGGGACGGCAGTCGATTGACGGTCTCTGTCATCATCTCAAGTCCCGGAATGCGTAGTGGATGCGATAGCGGGTTGTAGGGGAAATTCGCCTTCATGCAGCTCGATGTGAGGAAGCTTAGACGGTTGGCTGATTTGGAGCCGGGCATCGGTGCGGTGACGAAAGAGCCCGTCAGATTGTTGGACAGAGAATAGCGGTACGCGGATGAGGGCTCCAGGTTCTTGATAGCTACGGTGGTTGTGAAGTCCGTCGCATCTGTCAGTGAGTAAATCACGCCTTCTTCTGTCCATCTCGAGGGGTCCTCCTCCGTTGGCTGGTAGTATACAATCAAGGGTAGCTGAGCCGGATCGGGTTCACGGACCAGCAAATTCGCGGTAGTCGGAGAGACATAGCCAATACGAGAGAAAGAAAGGTCATTGCTGGGATAGAGGATGAAGCCTCGTCCCACGAAGTCTAGAGTGAGGAGGGCGAGGACAATGTTGATCAGGACGGTTAAACGCGTTGACAGCGGTAGTCGGGGGGACGGCAGCCCAGTAAGCAGGACCTTAAGGACGCCTTCGGTTGGCGGCGGAGATCCTATAGCAAGTTACTCTGTGTGCCTTTGAGGGAGGTAGAGCCTGCTGATGTTGAGCCTACTTACTGGAAGCATGTTGAGCATCTTTATTGCCCTTGCGCCGATCGGTATTGCTCTGGTCGGCCGGCCGGCCAAGCGACACCAATGAAGCTAGGTAAACAGCTAATAAGGTGACTATAAGGGGTGGGAAATGATGGCCGGGGATCTATATAGCTCCAATTAGCTACCATGAACGCGTAGACCATGAAGAACAGTCAACGCACCCAGCGGAGGAAGAAGAAGGCTGTCACTCGGAGGGCTGCGGAGCTCGTAGCAGCAGCTACGCGGGGAATAGACACCATGGCGTCGAGAAGCTGTCGACACGATCTACGAGTATGAAGAAGAATCAGAGCATCACCAGCTCATCAAGCTCATGCAGCTCTTCCAGAGAGGCAGATGAGAAGGAGAACAAGAGAGGTAGTTGAGGGAGAAGAAGCAATTCACAGTTAGTCGAGTAGATCAACTGATTAATCCGAAAAGGCGGAACGGATGAGGCGCCGCAGCGATGACGACATGCTCTCCAACCCAAAACAACATCAAGCCACCAAGCCATGTACAAGTCAGTTGTTATTCTCAATTGCTCTATAATTATATATGCAAGGTGTGGAAGCTGCAAGCTATGTCTCTATCGCTGCTGCATCATGTCCCGAAGTAGATTCATCAAGCTGTTGGCCATTGGTCCTGAGCGCATCATACGCGCAACGTGTAGCACCTCCTTAATATTCATGCTCAAGCTCATCGCCGCCGCCCACTGCCAGGGCGCATCTCGGTCCCCCGGTTTCGAGTTGAAGTATTCCCAACCCATCACGCCTCCGAAATTGGGGAAGCGTTCAACCAGCAGACCTAGGATCGGCCCGATCTTTTCCAGTGGTACATAGCCCTGCGATCCATTCCCGGGATTCGTCAACAGCCCGTACACCACCCGGTTCGGGGCCCAGCCCTGTGCAATCATGGTAGCATACATCCGAGGGTCGTCTGGGTGGCCCCAACCATTATAAAACTGGGTATTATACCAGCTGATTTTGGAGGCTCGCTGTCGCTCTAGCTCGCGATAGTCGAAGCCGGACAGGTTGCCCATGCCCAACATGGCCGCCGCCACTGGAGCCAACGTAATGATGAAGTCGTCACCCATGTCGAGCTTGAGCCGGTCGATCAGCCGGATAATGCCCGACAACGACATCTCTTCCTCCACATCCAGATCGAGCCCATCCAGTTCATGACGCCGCACCATGTCCCGCAAGGGTTGATAGTATAGTTCAAATTTCTCCTCATCACCGTCCAGGCAGCGGAATGAGCCCTGCGCCGCGCCTCCCAGGAGTCCCATGACACGAACCCCGCTCTGCTTCACGGCGGGCACTTCGGCCCACAGCGGTTCATACAGCGGCATATGAGGGGGATCATTATTGAGAGTAATGTGCTGTGGATCGGCATTGAGGTGAAAAGCGGCCAGGATGATGTGGGTGACGCCAGTATTGTTATCCAGCAGCGGCAGCATGGAGCAGTACTGGCCATCAGGACAGATCGTCTGATGATAGAGAATCACCCGAGGGCGCTCGGGTTGCGGAGACACGGGAGGCATCTTTTAGGTTGGCCCTTAAGAGGAGGATTAAATCACTTGCTGGTATAAAAGAAGAGCAAGGTTGTGTAGGATGCGCGCAATGGCGCTCTCTGACGGTTTCAGCGGGGAATGGGAGCCATGCGTAATCCGTCAATGAATGGCCCACTGATTAGCCGTTCAGTTCTCGCCTATCACTTGGGATGGATGTGAAACCCGACCTGCAGCCCAGGGAAAAGAGATCAAAAGGCTGCATGAAAACAGCCCCTCATGGCAAGCATATGCAGTGAATCCTAATTGAAGAGGTCTGGCTTTGATCATGCGCTCTGTTGAACACTCTCTATTGTGTCACCTTCTTTCTATGTGATTATGTCAGCATCACCGGCTTTGTTGGCCATCAACAATAAAATCAAGACCAGTTCAACCACCAACTGGTCACTCTGGACGCTTAGTATACTTGTTTTATAACACATCAACAATCTTACATCTTTTTCTCTTTGTCATTTTCTGTCAGGCTGATACCACACTGTGGGCGAAATGTATGGACATGCTTGAAATTCATTAATGTGTACTCTGTAGATTTGGAGCAGTTCAGGAAGCTCCGCAACTCACTTCTTCTGCGCAAATGCATAGAGCACATTTTCTCTAAAGCTATCTCCTCATGTACTCCATTAGTCTTATAGTTATATTCCCTATCATGATCTCTTGGTCCTCATGCCATAATCAGTCTCTTTCATTGCTATCTAGTAAAAAATTAAGTAAATATAGTCTCGGTGGATCCCAATGCGGAGCTACCTAGATCGCGCTAATCCTCATTGAGCTTTCGCGGCTCTTTCTGCCTGAGGATGCAGGCCAGCAAGGACGGGCCAATTGCGGTTCCTGCCTGCCTGGGGCTGCCATGTTTGACGGGATCCTCCATCCATCTTCCACTCTTTCTCCCATTCAGAGCAATTAACTAGTTGTTAACTGACGCGCATTTTCCCGCTCAATCGCCTATCCTTATCGGCTCATTTATCCACCACCCCTATTCTCCGAAGAACCGATGATGTGCCTGATTGGGACGTGAAGTTGTGACCGATCTTATCGCATATGTTACCCTGATCAATAAACAATCCCAATCGTTTCCGCCGTCATGGACACGACTTCCCACGACACCGTTGGCGCGTCCACGCTGGCCACCCCCCTCTTCATGCCTTCATCACCGCCGTCTCATCCTGACCAGGGGGAGAGCTATTCTCCGGTCAGCAAAAGAAGCTTCCGTTTTAGTTCGCACGGCGCGACCGGCGCAGACCTCGATGACGCGCGTTCGCCGCAACGCCGCTCCCCCAAATCCTCCAGAGCGTCCTCTCTCGAGCGCGCCGCGAACGAGATCGATGCCCGTCTGGCGCAGTACACGGTCGATTTCAGCCAGTTTCCGAGCAACCACGCGCTGGATGAGGAGCCCTTGGAAGAATTGAGACTGCCACATGAGGACAACTTGTCCGACGTCGGTGGTCCGGATGACTTCACTGCCAATTTGGAGAAGTATCTCATGGGGGAGGATGATACCATGGATCACAAGCATTTCAGCATAGACCACATGGAGCGCGACCTGTTCGAGCCAGAACTCCATTCCGATGCTGGGCACGAGTCGGAACCCGAGCCGGAGCTGCAGGACGAACTTCCCCAGCCGCAATCCCAGCCACAGATCCAGAGACAAGAAGCGAAACAACCCCAGCAGCAGGAAGACTCCCAGAACAACTCTCAATTGCACCAACCAGCTGTTGAAGATGAGCCGGAGGTCAGCGGATACAGTGAATTTGGGCCTCCTGTCGACATGTCTACCCCGTCGCATCTGCTGCGTCGGGCCGGCGGACTCGGGAAAGATATAACCCATCTCGAAAATATTGAAGAAGACCCGGATGATGAGATGGAAGCGACTACAACCACACCATCCGTTCGCAAGCACAAGCGCACTTCCAGTAAGAACGAGAAAGACATGACCGAGGATCTGCGCCGGCAGATCGCAGAGCTCAAGGACGCACTGCGCGAGCGTGATGAACAACTGGAAAGGAACCACAGACGTGTTTTGGAGGCAGCCTCTGCAGGAGAGCAAATAAAGCACCTACAAGGGGAGCTACAGAGAAAGTCGGAACTGCTCGAAGAGCTGTACGCTAAGCGCAGCGACGAGACACTCCTGCGCGAGCAAATCCAGCTTCTACAGAAACAAAACCAGGAAAAAGAGTCCTTCCTCCAGAAGTCTACAATGAACGCGTCCGAGCTGGGCACTTTGCAAAAGCAGATGAGTGACATGCAGAAAGAGCTGCAGAGTCGAAGCTCGCATCCCGATATCGACACCGAGCGCCTAGAAACGATTGCCTATCTGCGCCAGCAATTGGACTTGGCTCAGGAGCAGCTGCGAAAGCGCGATGCAACCTTGGACGAGACAATGGCCAAGCTGAAGGAAATTACAACCGCCAAGGAGCAGCAGCTCCGGGAGAAGAATAGCGAAATCGATGGCCTCAAAGCTCAGGTCAGCGACAATCTCCTAGAGGTTGAAAAGCTGGAAAGGGAACTCGACCGTGTAAACCAGGCATACGAGACTCTCGAGGAAAGAATCGCCTCTCTAGAAACCAAGAACCGACCATTAGAAGAGAAGAACAGCACGCTGGAAGCCGATTTGACGCGCGCACAATCGCAAGTCACTGCGCAAGAGAATGCCCTCAAAGCCATGGCAGCGGACCTCCCGCTCGAGACGGGCAACACCTACACTGAGATCCTAGAATTGATCAAAGACCTCGGCCAGCCCAGCGTTCGACGCACACCAGACCCCTTCGCCAAGGACAAACTCCCCCAGGACCAAGACACTTCCCAAGACTTCGAACTCAAACACTTCCACGAAGAACTATTGAAGCTCCAAACCGAACTAGCAGAAGCCACCTCGGCAAAAGCAACCCTCGAGCTACAACTGACTCGCTCGCAAGACCAAGCCACAGAAGCACAAACCCTCATCCATTCCATCGAAACCGAAAACACGCGCCTAACCAAACGCGCCGACGAGCTCAAATCCTCCCTCGACAAAGCCCAACAAGAGCTATCCCAAGCGAACGAAGAACGCACGCGGGCCCTGGAAACCATCACTCGTCTCAAGAAGGAACAAGAGGACCTCCAAAAAGCCACCCAACAGCAACAACAGCAACCCAGCCCACCTCCATCCCCTCCAACAAACACCCACCAACACCAACCCCAATCCACATCTACATCCACATCCACAACCCAAATCCAGACCCTCCAAACGGAACTCACCACCCTCCGCGCCACCAACACCAACCTCCAAACCCTCCTCACCAGCACCTCCAACCGCGAAACCAAACTCAAAGCCCACATCCTCACCCTGCGCGACCGACACCAAACTGAACTCCGCGCGCAGAGAACCAAAATCGAGCACCTCGAATCCATCATCGCCACAAAGGACGAAACCGCCGCTGCAGTCGACGAACGCATCGCGCGGTCCGTCGAGAAGCGCGAGAAGGAGTGGCAGCGGCGTGTAGATCTCCTGCTCAAGGAGCGTGAGAGGATGAGTCGTGCGTTGATGTGGTCGTGGGGTGAGAAGGAGATGGGGAGTGTCAAGGAAAACGATAAGGAGAATGTGACTGTCGATGAGAAGGGGAGGAAGAGGCAGGCGTATCGGTATAAGTATGCCACTGGGGTTGATGGAGAGGTGAAGACGAAGTCGTCGCAGTCTCGGTCGGGGTCGAAGAGGGCTTGAGCGGCTTAGCTTAGTTCATCTGGGCTCTATTGTTCTCTGGCTGATTGCCTTCTTGTGGATCTGGTCGTTTGTTTGTTCGTCTGTTTGTTCGTTCGTTTGGCCTACCTACTTGCTTATCTTGTGGGATTGCGGCATTACTGTCTTGGACTGGGGTCTATTCTGGTGTCTCGGGTATATACATTAACAAACGGTTGGGCTGGGGGTGCTGGTGTTGTGTTGTGTGTTGTATAAGGGGTATGGCTCTAGTTTCTTGTATTGTGGCGTTTGGGGTTGATTTCGAATGGTTGGGTTGAGACGTACATAAGACGGTAGTTAATCTGATCCTACATTTCAATTGATCCAAAAAGAAAGAGTGTAACATGTGATAATTGCATAATACAGAAGAACTAGCAAGCAGAAGAATAAAATCATAATAGTATTCAATCAATAGTATATGGCAAGAAAGGTAAACAAAGGAAAAAAGAAGCGTGCTAGTATACATTTTATATCAATCATGAGGCAATAAGAACGTGATAACTTATAGAGCCGATTAAATCATAGCCAGTCCGACCCGCAGACTTCGTTTCAAAATGCGTACATGCCGTGGGCACTAGTAGTTCGCGTGGTACCTCTATACGTGTTTCCATCAGCGAAGATGTCTTCCGGTTCATCAACAGAGGCGCCAGACTCGCGGATACAGTCTAGACTGGATGTTGTGCCGAACCCTCCACAGGTGTTGCTGCGGGGCCGCCGGGTGCTGGAGTACACGATTTCGACGTCGTTTCGACGTCGCCGTGAGGGCATTCGACGGTGGGTGTCAAAATACGATCGACGAGCGTAGCGGCTTTGCTGGGGATGGTACTGGCTTTGTGTGTGTCGCGGGATCTGGCATGCTTCAAACCGGTAGACTTGGCTTCGTCGTCCGCTCGAACGAATTGAGTTCTGGCGTCTGGATCGCCCGTGCTGCGATAGAGAGCCGTGGTAGCTGTGATTCGGCTGCCGTGGCGGGATCGGCGGTACTGCCGGGGGTTTAGGCCGAGAGAAGTTGTACTGGCTAGTAATTGGAGCTGTGTGTGACGTGTTGGATCTCTGAACCCTGAGTGGCTCTGGTGCGACAACTTCGGGGGCATCAGCAGAGCTGCTTGATATTGATCGTGGAAGCGTGCTTCCTTCAGACCGACTAGTCTTGAGCTCAGGGTTACTGGTCGTCATGGAAAATATAGACCTCTCCACAGGAGGAGAAGACGGGAATGGAAGCTCCACAGGGGAAGATGCCAATGGGTGTCCAGGAGCATATTCCCTTTTGGGAGTTGGCGGCGGCTCGATGTTATCAGATGGATGCTCCTCTGCCGGTTGCTCAACGTCCGCAACAGCATCGGGACCAGCGAGAGCAAGGATATCAGGATCTGATGACAACGAGATCTGACTTGCGAAAACCTTGGGAAGAAGTCGGAAGAAAGGGGATGCAGAGGGTTGATGCCTTTGATGTTTGATTTGTGGGGATCCCGGGAGTTCTGCCAGTACAGCCTGACGATAAGGGTCGTAAGGAGCCCTTAACGTGGCTTTG